ACACAGACGTAGCGACCTACAGACATACCGACCGTCCGACCCACCGACCGACCGACCGACCGACCGACCGACGGACCTACCTACCTACCTACCTACCTACCTACCTACCTACCTACCTACCTACCTACCTATTACTCCTACTACCACTACTACTACTACTACTACTACTACTACTACTACTACTTTTACTACTACCACTACTACCACTGCCACTACTACTGCTGCTACCACTACTACTGCTACTACCACTACTACTGCTACCACTACAACAACAACAACTACAACAACAACAACTACTACTACTACTACTACTACTACTTCTACTACTGCTACCACCACCACCACCACCACCACTACTACTACTACTAGTACTACAACTACAACAACAACTACTACTACTACTACTACTACTACAACTACAACTACTACTACTACTACTACTACTACTACTACTACAACTACTACTAGTACTACTACTATTGCTTCTACGACCACGACCACGACCACGGCTACGATTACGACTACGGCTACGACCACTATGACTGCTACCTTCTGCGACAACGACTACTCGTAATTCTGCTGCTAATGCTGCCGCTGCCACTGCTGGAGTAGCCTTTAATTCAAAGCCAGTCTTGCGCTTGCCTTCATAAAGCTACCGGGAACATTGCCGGTGCCATTGTTGCTGTTACGGACTGTTGTTTTCAGTGGTTTTCTTGATCTGAGCATCTTGCTGTGGGCGGTGCTACTGACCTCCCACTATCTTGTCAGCAACTGATGACCACTTCTCCCATTGCTGACTTTCTTTACCCGATCTAAGTACTAACACGAACACCACTGTTCTGCTCTTGCCAGTAGTTGCTGCTGGTGCTGCTTCGATGAAGCCTAAACCCTAAACCCGAAACGTTAAACCCCTAAACCCTAAAACCCCAAACCCGCAAACCTGTGCTGCGCTGGCTCTAAACTCGAATCCTCTGCTGCCGACCACAGTCCAACCCTAAACCCTAAATCCTGAAACCCTAAACCCTAAACCCTAAATCCTAAAACCCTAGACCCTAAACCCTAAAACCCTAAAACCCTAAAGCCCTAAACCCTAAACCCTAAAGCCTAAAACCCTAAACCCTAAATCCTAAAACCCTAAAGGGCCCTAAAGCCTAAAACCCTAAAGGGCCCTAAAGCCTAAACCCTAAACCCTAAAGCCTAAACCCTAAATCCTGAAACCCTAAACCCTAAACCCTAAATCCTAAAACCCTAAACCCTAAACCCTAAAACCCTTTAAAGGGCCCTAAAGCCCTAAAACCCTAAACTTGAGAAGAGGGGAGCCGGGCCTTGAGGCGCATCTGACCGGTCGAAGCATCAACTCCTTGCACCTTTCATTCTTAGGACTTAAAGGGGTTTAGGGTTTAGGG